ACGAAATGCACCTTTTTACTGCAAAGCTGAAGTAATAGTGAAGGAAATAATATAGTTAAGCACAAAAACGGCTAGCCGTGAGTGGCCGACCGGAGGGAGGCCGACGAACGACTAGACGTTAATTTCAGAAGATTGTTTTGAAACATAGTTTTGAAATGAGTCTTAGTTGGTTGAAATGGTTTTTTGAAAGCACTTAATGAATGCTAATTCGAGAAAGAATCCAGCAGTACATCGTTGTGTTAGAATAAAAAGAAATTGGAAACTATGATGAACAATACATAGTGCTATCTAAAGGTTGGAAATTTCCGATTGCAAATCGATACGTTATGAGTGAAATAGTTTCGGTACACGTGAAAAACCTTAATGTAACAATTGATATACAGAAAAATATACTACATATGGTAACGGCTAGCCGGGAGTGGCCGACCGACTAGGCGTTGATTTAAATGGTTTATTCTAAGTATAGTAACTGAGACTTGAGGTTTTTTGCGAAATTGTTAAGTGATTCGATTCTTGAGCTAAGAAGAAATCTTAATTACACATTTGACCTAACAAGACTTATTCGATGAAGGACTTGTGAATGCAAACATGGCATTATTTGCTTGTTGTGGCGTGAGTAGGAATAGATATGCAGTTGTACAACCCTAAAAGGTTTTAGGAGTTGTCCAGGATTGTGTCATTTTAAATGAATTATTTTTTTTCGTATAATCATGGTTCGGTGTGAGCCGAAACATATAGCAGTTTGGTTATGCTATTAAACTTGCTGAATACACTTTGGATAGAGGATCAGATTTTTCATAACATCAATTTCTCTGATAGTTCGGGAATAGTAAGGTTGCTTTGCTAAGATTATTTTTAAAGTGTAAGAATTCTCGAATATGCGACGTCACAACTTCTTAAACTCTTCGAATTAGGTCATTTTTTCAAAAAATGAGATAGGGCTGCGACTGATCATTTATTCCTCAAATTAAAAATGAACCATGTTCGATTAAAGTTTTACGATGAGTAGAACCTGTCCAGGTACCCTTTGTTAACATGTATTCAAAATCAAAATCATTTTTTATAATAATCATAGAAAACTTTCTTTCAGAAAAGGGTCAGCGAATCCATTCGATGAGCGCTAGTTGTAACTAATTTACGATAGAAAATGACGTCTACAGTGAGCTTCTGTTTGTGTTAGATCGACATCCTCTAACGTGATATTAAATATTACCAACAGAGCAGTTAAATTGTCACGATAAGATGATTGAATACTCTGATGTGACCATTTTAATTTATCTATCCATTATGTTAGTTTAGCACTAAATCTGAACGCCGTTTGTTTACGTGCAGCTTGTTCATGTCTTTGACATAACTTAAATCAATGCTACTGATTACTTTCGTTTTCTACCAGCATCTAGTCGAAAACCGTTGTGATCAAGATTATCACGATTGTCAAGATCAATGTTGTTTTTTTTTTTATAAATAAGTAAATAAGAGAGACTAAGTGGAACGCTATTGATCAATGATAGCTAGCCTGTGGAAGCGTACAGCAGACAGACGAAGCTGCAGAAATTCCTTATCAGTAATTAGTAAGAATCAAGATAAGAAAAGAGACAGGTTTACAGAGAATAAATAATTGTTTATATATAAGAGCAGCGATGGTGTTCGAAACTAGGGCTAATTGTAGCTAGCGGGTCCCTCTGTATGATCATATAGCTATTATACAATTAATATTTTTTAATGCTTAGAGAAAATGAGAAAGAGTAAAAAGTATCAAAACTGAAAAAAATCAAGTTTTTAGGCCGAGTTACGATGCAAAGCACTGCACTGTAGCTAGTAATATAAAAAATTCTTTGAAATCCATTAATTTTCAAAATAGAGACCATACGGTCTGGATTTAAACTCTTTTAAAACCAAGTTGGTTCGGTTCAATGTGAGCTGATCGTACACACATAGTTTAGTGATAGATCCAAGCTTTTTAAGAAAATATTCTTCTACATACTTATACCGAAAACATCTTGCTCGTATAGAATAGAAGTATGAATATACTGCGAAACCCAGACTTCTCAGAACGTTTTGTTTTAAAAATAGTAAAACTTTAAAAAATGATGCGCTTTTTTAAAATTTTTCGATGAAAAACTAGCATTTAGGTGTAATATTTCTTGCTGAGGATTGTGGCAATTAATCGAACATCTTTTTCAGCTAGAATCCGATAAAACCCTTTATTCGATGTCAAATCCAACTATATTATCAGCCTTAACGAATCTATACGTAACAGATCTCCTCGTTTTCTTGGTTACTGACTCCGCTAAATAAGTTTTTCATTTTCTGAGGCTTGTATCGTTATCCGCTGTTTTCCTCACATTGAGGACGATTTCGAAACGATTCAAAACAGTCTTTTGAAAATACGTTTGCATATCTCATTCATCGTCAGAATTTATTCTCACCACTGAAAAAGCAATACAACCCTGTATCAGAAACACTCATTTAGATAGCTAATGAGAATTGGTATTCCTATCAAGACATAAACTACTGTTCAAAAAATTCCTATGCTTTTTGTGAACCTTTACGTAGAGATTTGTTTCAATCGATAACACAATTCCATCTTACATGCAACCAAAGATCTCATGACGTTCTATTTGATGCAATTCTTCTCTTCGTTAGAATATTTTATAATAATTATTTAGCCAAAATGTGAGCCCAAATGCTCTATTTTACTAGTCATTTCTAAAATAGAGAGTTATTTCCTCATAAAAACCTGTGAATATAACACATTGTAACCCATGTAAAAAAGTGATGAAAATCATCATTTTTATGAGGGATCCGATGAGAAATCGATTTCAATGCCACGATTTTTATAGCTTGGTAATCGATTAAGTTGAAATAATTAATTTAAATCGACTAAACTGTTGCATATAATCGATCACAATCGACTATTTTTCACGAAAAATTAAATATCATTGGATTTTAATCGATTATATGCAACAGTTTAGTCGATTTAAATTAATTATTTCAACTTAATCGATTACCAAGCTACGAAAATCGTGGCATTTAAATCGATTTCTCATCGGATTTTTCATAAAAAAAATCATTTTCACCGCTTTTTTACATGGGTAATACCTCTTAGTGACTTCCATAATTGACGATCTTTCTTTCAGCTGGTACACTTCTTCAAAACCTTTTGTGGTCATCACGTGAGTCTCTATCAGCTATTCATTAGTCATTTTTCCGCTAAAAGACTCATGACAATTAACCACATGGAATTTGATATTGAAAGAAACGCGTTACATAATTCCATCTCGCATGATTATTACAATAAACATTTTAGCTTAAACATGGACTCTTTTGATGAAAATAATCTTATACAGTGATTTCTTCCATTTAGCGTTCCACGTAGTAAAAGGTTTTGAAACCTATGCATTCCAAGCACTATTTTCCTCATATCTGATCCAACGTTAATTTTCGTGAGCTCATTTTTTAACTAATGCTTTTCTTTTAAATCTGCATCTCCGACGAATTTTACCAACGCCATATAACTTCTGCACACTCGATACTGTAATTCTTCAAGACGTTATTAAGTACATTGAAAAAACTGAATATCTAATACCCACCTTCTTCGACGCATCGAAAACGAAATACATATGAACATATCTTAAATATATCTCTGCAAAATTTTGAAAATTATACAGGGAAAGTAAATATCTGATATCTGCTTTCTGCTCATATTTTTGAAATTATAGGTACTATATGAGACTTCATATGTTAAATTCAAAAATTTTGAAATTTCATATTGAAAGTGTTGTGGATTATTCCAATATGTAATCAGAGTATACATATTGGTAT